TTGGTAAAGAAGGTGATCAATGGGTTGGTAAAGTGTTGAAGGATTTTGGTGCCCCCGTTTGGAGAGTTTCGTGGTCACTAACAGGAAACATATTGGCTGTGGCTGATGGGAATAACAATGTGACATTGTGGAACGAAGCAGTAGATGGTGAATGGCAACCAGTGAGAACAGTAGATACATAAAGTTAGACACATTTTTAACCCTTGAGTCCAGAATGTTACATCATATTAACAAAACTCTAGCTATTTTGCAAATATAGATTTTGCTTCATCATATCAATGTGCTATATAACACAACGATCGATGTGGTGTTTGACGGAAGAACAGATATGTATGAGCAACTGTTTGACGTTTCTATGTTGTCAAAGCATCTTTGATATACAATTTAAGGATTAATCCTGTGATATCCCGTTGGACGTGTATGATAAAGGTAGGTATTATGTAGTCCTAGAGTACTTTTTATCTCAGATAAAAGGCGGGATAAAATAATCCCACGGAATATCCTTGTCTGTCTCATTCTACTAACCCAACGACCTCTAGGCGATCAGCAGTAGGATTTAAGAACAATAAAACTTTAATGTGAGACGCACCAAAATGTGTAAGACCAGCATAGAAGTCACGTAAGTTTAAACATGATATGCACATCTAACATTTTAATTAAAACTTTCGGAGTACTTCCGTGTTCTGGCTATTGGTAAGTTTGGTTCAATTTTATTTTTACACTTAAACAAAGCTAAACGTTGAATAGTTTTAAAATAATGGTTTACCCATTGCACCTTGTATGCTTAATTGAGAACTGCTTGCCCATGTCTTTTCCTAATGGACTACAATTTACTACAAATCAATGGTCCAGTAGGCCCAATACAAGTAATTCCATGTCTCAAATGTTTGTTGAGCATTCTAAGGCTGATTATATGTGGCCTAAACAAGTGGAAAAATTGTTACTTGGAACATTTCGCCTTAAGCCCACTATAATGTTACAAGTATAGTTAAGCAGGAATCTAGGTCTATATTACTTGTAAAGGAAACTTAAGTAAATGTACCTTTGGCAAACTAGTTTACCAACATGGTCGAAATATGACTATATATATATATATACACTTTGACTGTATATATTTTGTATATTATATGATATTTAGTTTAAAGTAAATATTACTTCAACACAGTGTACATATTTTATAAACTAAATAGTGAAATGATATTTGACTATAATTTTCCCTACTTGTAAATGATTAATTTACTTAATCAATGAGCTCTCAATTTATTTCTTTGAAAAACTCATAATTATTTTAAATTCCAAAGCAAACAAAAAAGGAAAGGGCATATAATAACATGAAGAAGCAATAATTGAGGAAGCATTGTAGTAATAGATTAATGAACACCAAAGACACTCTTAAAGTCAATTGTCAAGGAGAAGGCACGTGCATTGTTAAGCAACCACGTGATGACCTTACACGTGCAACCATGTTAGCACTGTTAACGCACGTGTGAGAAGCATCAAAGAAAAAAAGACACTTAATAGTTAAAGAGTTCGTGAGAAACCTAAGGCAATAAGACCACAAACAATGGGTTTTCTATCAAATATCCAGCTATACATTTAACCAAAGTTTATATTTGAATATACTAAATTAAAGGTGTAAGTATACAATAAAAGAAGGTTCGTTCGAGATAATTTAAACACGTCTTGTTCGATTTATAATTTTATTACTTCGGCAGTGTGAAAATATTGCTGTTGAAGGTATTAAAAAGGGACTAGATATACCTAAAATTACATGCCAGAAAATTGCTTAAAAGACTTGAAAAAGAATTTTGAATTTATTTAGAAAGAAAATATTCATAGGAGAGGCATTTTTAGTTGGTTAGCAGGAGCACAGCTAGCTTTTTCGCTACGGATTCAGTCAAACTCTAATAACTTTGTTTCAGTAATTGTAAAGGGTAGTCGGCAGGGGCGTATTTAGAGGGGGTGCCGTGGGTTCACGTGAACCCATGCTCCCCTCTCTAGATCATATATAATAGTGTTATATTTTTAAAAAATATTTAAATATAGATGTGTGAACCCACGTTTAAAGTATCATACAATACAATAATGATTGAGTGCACCTCTCTAACTAAGGATAAAAATTTAAGTCTTATATCTGTCTTGTCCTTTTGAGTAACACCTCCCCAAGTGGTTATCGTTATACTTTTGACGTTTCAACTAATTTTCTTTGTTTTTTCCTTTAATCTTTCAAATTTTTCAAGTGCCTTACATTGGAAGTTCCTAAAAAAACTTTGCACTATAAGATTTTTATATAATTAAATCAAATGTGTATATTAAAAATTAAAACTAATAGTATTATATATTTTGGACCTATAATTTTTAAAATTTAATGGTTCATATTAAGAACCTAAAAGTCAAACTTATCAAATTTATATTTAAGATGCATTTTTTTTGTATTCGTGCACCCATCTTGACGAATTCCTGGATACGCTTCTGGTAGTCGGTTCATAAGGCATTCCTTGTTGGCAAGGTTCGGGAAAGATCGCACCCAAACGAGTGCGGAGAAGTTATTAAATATATAAAAATTATTATTTATTATAAGAAGCAACTTTAAAAGATTGAAATTTCAAATTCATAAACTTTAAATTCTGACTCAACTTTTAATAATTAATATTATTATTAATAGTTTTCACTTTTATTTTTCGATTGGTGTAATATTGATATGACTTGAATTTAAAAGAATATGTTTTATCTTTATAAAACTTATATGATATGAATCTTAATTTGTTTGAGTCAATATTTCTAATTTCATATTGTTAACTTAAACTATAAAAGAGCAATTGTGCCTTGGCCTTTTGAATGAAGAATTGAACATGTAGCCTATTTTCTTTAGTTTAAAAGTCAGTCACATGATAACTGACAATATCCCTATCCTTTGTCACGTGCTTAGTCGGACCCCACGAACCCACTCAATGCCCCCACACATCTTAATTTATACTTCATCTGTTCCGTATTTTTCTTTTTAGTTTGTCTCTTGAAAAATAACACTTATAGTGTTATGCTTCATCAATTAGTATATTAATTTTAGAACATTATAAATTCCTTTTATATTTATTAAAGTTTGTACCCAATAAAATTATATCATATAAATTGATATTGAAAAAAATACTTTAAATTCAATTAATATCGACATTCAAATTGAAGTTTATAAATTACTCCCTCTAGTGTCGGAGCCAGGATTTTCAATAAGGAGGTTCAAAATCTGAAAAAATAGACACACGAAATAGCCGAAAGGGGTTCGACATCTACTATATATACTTAAAAAATTCTTTTAATCATGTATAAATAATATAATTTTTCATCGAAGAGGGTTCGGATGAACCCCTACTTGTAAGGTGGCTCCACCACTGACTCCCTCTATCTCGTCCCGTATTAATTGATTATTTTTCTTTTTACACGCATATTAAGAAATCATAAATAAAAAGATAATTTTATTAATTTACTCTTAATTTTTTTTTGGGAATTTTACAAATAAACTATAATACTTTTTAAAAAATTTAATTGCAAAAATTTCTATATAAAAAATCTAATTAACATTTTTTTTATTTAATGAAATAGACAACTACTATAAATTAATAATTTAGGTACTTATAATATTTTAAAATAAATATAAAATCTAAACTAAATACTATTGAATTCAACCAAACCGGTAACATTACGGTAGAAGAAGAGGATACTCTTGAAGAAAATAAAAGACAAAAAAAAGTGAAAGAGGAAAGCTGGTAGAAAAGTAGGACGAATGATTGGTTGTCAATGTAAACTAATTTTATCTGTTTTTATCTGCGTTTTCACCTTGGGATTTGTAATATTATCCCGCCCTATAAATAATTCTTATTACAAATCTCCATCACCCATCCAAAAGAACACAAAAGAAGAAAAGCAAAAGATTATGCTACAGAAATTGCACCAAGTCACTGATACATCTTTTGAGAAATTTCATATTTTTAATTCGCATCAACTTTTAGAATTTATCATTTATGAGTTTTCTGAAGTCACAGCTCGTTCATGCTTGTAATTGTTGGTTAGTTAAAATATTCGAAAAGACTTGGATATTTATGAAAAGTGAAATTGGAAGTGTTTATCCAAAATGTAAATGAAACATCCTATACAGAAACGTGGATAATCATGATGACTGAGCAATTTGAACCAGTTTGAGCTGTAATGTTCGTGCTTAAACGTGGGTTAAGGAATATATTAACATGAGAGTTAACAAGGTAAACGAAGTACTAATAATGGAGTTAAAAAAATAGCAGTACCCAGGAAACAGCTTAAACTTTTTTATTATTATTATAAATATTTTTTATTAAAAAAAAAAACAGGGGACAAAGCGCAATTCCCGATGGATTAAGGCAAAGTTAATACTAGTAATAATAAGAGATAATAATAATACATAGAAAAAGAAAAAAACAGAGGAATCCGGCTGTAAACTTGGACTCTAATGGTAGCTTCACGGCGACAAAACCTGCTGGATCGATTCTTAAGGGTAAAGGGGTTGTATCGATTTTAATCCACTTCACTAATTTTTGTTAATTAATTAATTACAGTAAGTACTAATTAACTTTACTTGTACTAAAAAAGAAGAAGATAAATACATACAGATTCTTCATTTAAATTATTCGAACAGCACATGACAGCCGTGACATCCAATTTAAATTAGCACCTTTAGTATTCAATTTTTGACCTTTAAAACAAAGTTTCAAACTCTAAAAAAGTCTAAAGTAATCCTTTACTTACCACAAAGATAAAGTAAAATTTGAAATCATTATTAAAACATCCAGTGATAATATAAACTTTCAAATTTGCTTAACAATTCATTTTATTTTATTTTTACACTATAATAAAAAGTAGTAGTAGTACTTAAAATACAAGCATGTTAAGGGGAAAATGAAACAACTTTACAGATTTAGCAAGTGATGTGTAATTTTTATTACACAATTTTTAAATTGTGCTATAAAAAAGGGAGAGGTAATAAAAGATGCTTTAAAATAAAAATAAAAATGGTGAAGTGTAATTACGAGAAAGACCTTCATTACACTTATGAAAAGGCCTCTGACCCGGACCCCTTACTTTCAGCTTTTGAGCACTTGTCTGTCCTCTTCACACTCAATTCCTTCATTCTCTCTTCCTTTTTCTCAGCTTCCGATTCTCCATATAAAGAATTAGTCTCAAACCTACCGTTACTTTGCGTTTTACACTCCACCATTCTTACACTACACACCAACAACTTCTTCTTCTTTTTTCTAACAATGGAAGCATCGGATTTATTCGTCAGCGGCTTTTTCTCACATGCCGGAGACGAACAAATTCCGAATAACATCAATAATAATAATAACTGTAACAATTTTTCTGTGGATGATCTTTTGGTTATCCCTAAGGAAGATGAAGTTATGGCCGACGCATTTTTCAACAATATTACAGGAAATTCTACTGATTCATCCACCGTTACCGTCGTTGACAGCTGTAATTCCTCTGTTTCTGGTGGAGATGGACAATTTAATGGCAACCTGAGCGGCCGCAGCTTCACCGATGCTCCCTTCCCTAACAGCGAACTCTGCGTTCCGGTAATTACACGAGAAAATTGTTTTGTTTCATCTTTTCCGCCAATTTCGGAATCAAATTTTGTCTGAGAAATTGTAAATCAACAACGTGTAAAATGTGAACAATTCATGTATCGTTTTACAGTTGTATTGAATAATAGAGTTCAAATTCATACTATTTGGTTGAAATTCAGTGAATTTAACTTGTTTATCTGTTTGTAACAGTTTGATGACTTGGCTGAGCTTGAATGGCTCTCAAATTTTGTGGAGGAATCATTCTCAAGTGACGACGTTCAAAACCTGCAGTTCATCCCTGTAGCAAACATTAATTCCTCCACCATCACCACCGACAGTTCATCCTCCGCAACCACATTTTCCACCGGACCTAACTCGCCACCTGCCTTCCCCACCGACACCTCTGTTCCTGGCAAAGCTCGCAGCAAGCGATCACGCGCCGCTCCCTGTGACTGGTCCTCACGCCTCCAGCTGCTCTTATCCCCTGCCACATCATCATCAGAGAGCAACAGCATCTCGCCTCCATCTGCTAACAACACTACTTTCGCCACAGCCAAAGCCACCAAAGCGCCGTCGAAGAAGCGAGAGAGTGTGGAAACGCCGGGACGCAAATGCCTTCACTGTGCTTCTGATAAGACACCACAGTGGCGCACAGGGCCATTAGGTCCAAAAACTCTGTGCAATGCATGTGGAGTTAGGTACAAGTCAGGTAGGCTTGTGCCGGAGTATCGACCGGCGTCTAGCCCGACTTTTATCTCAGCGAGGCACTCGAATTCTCATCGGAAAGTTCTGGAGCTCCGGAGGCAAAAGGATCTCCAGAGACACCAAGCACATCACCACCAGCATCAATTGCTTAGTCAACCCACAATTTTCGGTGTATCAAACGGTGGTGATGAATTCCTGCTTCATCATCACCAAAATTGTGGTCCAAATTTCAGGCACCTCATCTAGTATCAGTCACCTAGTGTAGGGGATAACTACTTTGCACTTTTCTCGTTTTAAAAAAGTTTGAATTAACAATCCCATTTTCCTAATTCCATCTAGTTTTAGAAAGTTGAAAATATCAGGATATCAAGATATAGGAGCAAAAAATAAAATGTTCCTAGCAATCCTAGAAAAAAAAAAAAAAGAGAAGAAGATTAAATGCGAAATAGAAATTAGAATTTTGTAACGTTTCTCTTAATTTTGGTATTAATTAATTTATAGATTCATTTTAAGACTTGTTAAGTCAAATATTTTTAGGTAATTATATCTTGTTTCGTTTGTATTTGCCAAATCATTTCTTGACTATATCGTTATGCGTTTAACTTCCATATATCACCAACATAAAAATAAGAGTACTATACTTTACGTCACAAGAAAGGAAACTACAAATTCAACTAATCATCTCTTAATATTTATATCATGCTATCAATTAAGGGATCGTTTGGTTAGTGAACTTGAGTCTATAGAAAAGTGCTAATTAGTACCTTCTAAAAGCAAGAGAGTTGCAAGTAATGGCGGAAACAAAATTTGTATTAAGAAACGTCAAAATATAACTAAGAATATACACAATTAAGCTTATATATAATTTTGCATTTAAAAGGTGTCAATTGTTATTCCAGAATATATACAACTCAAAGTGTAGACTTCAATCATATTAATAAACTAGATGACCGAAGGGTGAATAGGTTTCCCTACATATTGGTTAATTCTAGTATCAATTTGGACAAGGTTGAAGGAATTAGATTTTATTCGTTTGTTGACAAATGAAGTAAAGAGATAAAAAATACAGTGTAAATTTAATAAGGTGGAAAGTGGGTGTGGGGGAATGATCGGTGGAAGCAAATTGTATTGTGCATATTGCGCCTTTGTCAATGACATGGGCCATTGTGCCATAACTTGAAAACTTGAAAGGTGAGAAATTTGCACATGGAGGGCTCACGGGCACAACTAATTAATTTCCTGTCTCAACTTCCATTACTATTTTCAAAAGCTACCACCTCTTCTTTTTTTTTTTTGGAAAATAGTAAAAACAAAAATAGAAGTTGGTTTTACAGTTGCTACCAAAAAAATAAATAGAAGTTGGTATTGTATCTTTTCATTGGGTATCTACATGGATTAGCTTGCTAGAAAAATGAGTATAATTGGTGTACCAAGAGGTCCCAATTTAAAGAAATAGTACTAGAAAGAAAAAAGGTAGAAAGTCTGATCTCAATATTCCATTTTGATAAAGAAATGGCTTTGGACGGAGTTAACTTGATTCCAAAAGCTAGTTCATGAAATAAAATTATTTACAGCTATATAAATAGAGAGTTATTGTCGGACTCTAACACTCTCATGTCCATGACAAACCATAATCATCAGACTATAAGAAAGAGAATGAATCAAGACGGACAACAAAATTGTCACTTTACACAAGCCTGCTATCAATAGCAAGAGCAAAAAAAAGGTTTATGTTGAATTAGGACATAAAACCAGTATAAGCCAGCCGACAAGCAAAATGAGTTTACATACACAGATAACTAAGTTTTTGACAAAGAAGAGGAGGACCCTTCTTATATCCGCCCCTACTGAAACTTATCTGAGAAAAGTCTTTGTTCAGTACTCCCCTAAATCGAGTAAACAATGAGTTGTGACGAGTCTAGCTTCAATTCAATGATAATTAAATAAATGATTATGAGTCCAATTTAACTCAAAAAACTAGCTAACTAACCCATGGAGGAATAGATCATAGATGATAGATGATTGTTCAAAAATATAATTGAAAAGATCACCCAATCCATAGAGTCAATTTGATAAAAAGTAAATAATAATAAAAAATATCATAGTTTTGTTTAATTCTATATATAGAGAAGTACAAATATGTGTATATATTATTGACCCATAGTTTCTCTAATACTATTAAATGAATTGAATAAACAAAATATAACATAGATTTCAGTGACCATATTAATATATTGGCCTATGAAATTAAGTATGGGGAGAAAAAAAAAAAAAGATGAAGAAGAATATCGTGCAGTGTACGAAGTATAGCTGCATGGAATTGCGTTGAGAATCAATGTAGGAAAAGAACGAGGAACAATTTGATTATAACCAGTAGCAAAATTTTAAAAGAATAATAAATTGATTAATATTATATAAAATTAAAGTTATAGTAATACGTTAATTATGTATTTGGGATAACCTAGGTCAAAGGACGAACTATATTGGATTAAAATAATTACACACTAATGTTTGGCCCCTATATAATTGTCTACCCTATCTTAGACATTTTGCACTTCTGAAGGGGGCCACTACGTTATCTTTACCCAATCTCTCTATTATTTGCTCCAAGGTTACTCCAACTATTTTAGTGATATAATCAAAATTTCATTCAGAAGATTTCAAATATATATGAGATAAGAGTCTGAAAAATATCTCAATTTTGATCGGATTTACTGTTGCGATACTATACTTTCATGAGAACCTATTACCTCCCTAGACTATTTAGTACCGTATTTTAAACATATATTTTTGTCCATGTGGACATAAAAAATAATGCAAAATTATAAATAGTAATGTGTCCACGTAGGCACATATATACATTTAAAATACACTATTAAATAGTTCAGGGGGTAAAAAATACGGTATTAAATAGTCTAGGGAGGTAATAGGTCCTTATGAAAGTTTAGTATCGCAACAGCAAATCCGACCAAAGTTGAGATATTTTTCAAACCCT